AAGAAAGCAGCAGGCAATCCTTGTAACACTCATCTTTCAACAAAGCGTAGTGTCATACATATATACGCTTTAGACGGTAACTTTGTAATAGCTTTCTACCGAGCTCTGCTCAAAGGACTTTCTGGACATTTCGCAAGAAGACTATAATGAATACTTAACCTTTTATCAAAACTGTGAAATTGGCCCGCCCTAGGGATAAGGCCCAAGTTTTATCTGGTTAAAGTTCAGCAATTTTTGCAAAAGTGAGTCAAACTTTAAGGTAACGGTAATGAGGTCAAATTTGGTTGTAACAAAGAAAGATCTTGTCACAAGAAATACACCTGTGAAGTACGAAAACCACAGCCCCGCCCAACTTTAAGTTATGGACAAGGTAAAAGATTTTTTTTCTTTTTTGACAAGCAACAAAACAGACAAGCAGACAAACAGACGGACAGGACACAAATTGTATACCCCCTAAACTTCAATTAAGATGGTATGGATACATTTCATCCATGTTCCAGCCACATTTGGCTAAAAGAATAATAAATCAAGTATGCAGTCTGTACATAAATTTATTACGTGTAATTTTTCTACAATTGACAAATATTGTATCATTCTTTTTTTCTAGAGAACGTTGTTATTTGCTCATAAAAATATATTCATGAACAAACAATGATGGATTTCCCTTAAAGATGTACACAAGGTAAAAGAGTGGCATTTAAAATGCTTATTTAAATATGTCGAAGAAACACGTTTCCACCTATATATTTTAAGATGTAAAACCTCAACTGTAATATTCAGTGTTTTTCTGAGGTTTAAAAACAAGAAGGACTTGAAATAGTGCTCTTGCCAGTTAAGGTCAAATGAATTAAGTCCTAATATTTATTTATTTATTGTGTAAAAGTTATTTACACAAACTTTCCTTTGCAACAGTAAAGAAGAAAGCTTTATATTTAGTTTTTGATTCAGTAAATAATAATCCATGGATTAATTAAAATAAAATAAAATAGAAAATTAGTAGATATATTAAATGAACTAGAGAATAACACAATTGCAGCAATTTTATACTTTTGAGCGTGCTCGAAGCTCATTTTAGCTTCCAAACTGAGCGTTACCGGTTACAACTGGACCAACATCTCTATAGCATCTTCCAAACAGGCATACAAACCTAAAAAAAATATATGAAATAAAGTTATTTTCCTATTCTAGAAAGAGATATGTAGTGTTCATAAAATTCATCTCAAAACATTTCTTACTCTGGTGAATTGATTTTCAATTACAATTTAAAATTATGGCAAATCAAGATGATATTACAAATGATATGGGATTTAATATGACAAAATCACCTTTCAAAGCATAAAGTATTTATATTCAACTTGAAAAAGAACAAATCTGAACAAAAATAAATAATAATAATAATTTAAGACGCTGCAAAAATCATAAAATCTATTCTATTATATTTTTGATTAAAATAGAGGTAAAAATTCATTAAATGCGATGTTTCATTGCATCAAGAACAAAAAATTTTCCCAAGAATAAATTTTGCTTCACACAACATAAATAGATGCATAATGTACCTGAGCATCGTTAGACACACGGATGTACCTGTGGTTTGTTAGAATTCATCCATGCATTTACCAGTTTAAATCTTAAATAGTCGAATTCCTCTTACTTAAATACCAAAAGGAAAATATGAAACCATGTACAAGTTCACAAATTGGAATATATAGATAGACACTTGTTTTAATATTCTCTGTCACGAAACAGAAGAATGTCCTCATTTCAAAATGTTTTTGTTTGACATTTGATTGGTTTGTTACAAACTAGACAAACATCTGGGATATTTATTTAAAATATTTGTATTACATGTTGACACTGCATTTATATAGATAATTTATACACATCATGAACTGACTTTTGTATTGTAGATTGACCGACAATATGTTAAAACAAACTTAACAAAGACTGCTTACAACATTGAGAAAAGGAAACATCAAGGCAAAAGGTATACATTGTTACACATAAAAAATAACTTTTTGTTACACATATAAATGTTTCAAAAGAAAATACTTCTAAACATATGATAGTAGAAGGTATTTATCTATTCCCGTCACATGTACCCGCCATGAAAAGGACATACTACTAAACCTGGGCTGGCCAGAATTTGACATAGAATTTGACTCCAAACCAAATTAAGCTTGACCTAAAAACAGGTTTGTCTCAAATTTTGTTTCTTTAAAAAGTTGTGGCCTCATACAAAACGATTTTTTATTAGAATTTGATTGGTTTTATTGATTTTCTATTAGTGTCAATTTTCCCAAAGATAGAGCCAGTAAATATATTTCTGTTGATCTGTACATGTGCACATAGAACTAATTTACAACTGCCCATGCGGTTATTTTACTGATAAGCATTCCTTATTAGACTGCATCGAAATATACTACTACTAATATAATACGGAAGAATGATAACAAAGTCTTATCCACTGGCATGTAAATGTGGTTTTGTTATTTGTTGTGTTTTACAATAGGAATGGCCGCCGCCCAGGGACAGGATGTCCTTCGTTGCCGCTTTTGTTCAGACCCCATGGAACATCACTGAAATCTCTGTCATGTGGACCTCTGCGTCTCGTGCATTCCAACACACGTGAGTGACAGGTCAAGAAAACATGAAATTGTCGAATATTCTTCAAGAATAAAACACAAACAAGTTCTCCCTAAATGTCAATCACATACGAAAAACCGATGCCAGACATACTGCCAAGACTGTCAAAAACCAGAATGTATCCAATGCATGATTGGTTTACACAAAACGCATGAAATTATCCATATCTATGAAATTCTTCAAAAAATCAAACAGCAAATTATATCTGATGCAGAAGAATTGGAAAATGACATTGTTCCAAAATACAGAAGTATCAACCTAACTGCAACCGCTGCGCATTTTGAAAAAAGTTTTAGCAGGCAGAAAAAGAAGAGAAAATATGTCAAAAGGTGCACGAAGCTAGCATTCGACTCAAAGAGGAGGTGACCAAACAGAAGAAAGAAGCTGAAAGAGAAAGTAAAGAAAGTAGAGATTTAGTTGTAAAAGAAATCAGTCAGATCATACAAGATAACAAGAATATTCTCAAATATAATGACACTTCAGCCATTATGAACTACCAATCAAGAAATTGTGAGTTCCGAAAGAGTAAAAAAAATTACCCAAAATTCCTTTACCAGAGTTACTTCCTGGTAACGTAAAACAAGAGCAAATCATTGAGATGCTAGGTTATCTTCAAACTGGCAAAGATCCTATGAAACATTCTTTGATGCTTAAAATTATGAAAGAACCAGAATTACTCAGGACAATACAAAGTCCAGTAGGGGATAAACAAATGCTGTTGGGAGTGCAATGTGTGGGGAAAGATGATAGTTTGATTACTGAAAACACAAATGTTATGAAGCAGATGAACAGGGCTGGGTGCATTTCACAATCAATTTTTACACATGGCGCAGTCATAGCACTAACCATTAATTTACAACAGGAACCATTATTTTCAGTTGAGACGTTTCCTCGTTTAAGTTCAGACATTTATACCTATAATGATTACAACGTTAAAGTATTATTTCGCATAGCTCACTTTCCCCTTGGCCTATATTGTACAAAAAGACGAACGCTTCTGGTGAGCATGCACTCTGATGACTACAGACATAGTAGAGTAGTTAGATACTCAGGGACAAAAATGATTCAGAAGATACAGTATGACAGTCAGGGGCACCCTTTGTTTTCTACTGGTATTGAAACAATGCTTCCATTGACTGAGAATTGCAATGGTGACATCTGTGTTTCTGATATTTTCGGAAGGGTGGTTGTCGTAGTGGATTCTTCTGGGGGATTAAGATCTAAGTATCAGGGCAACTTCACCAATCAATCAACCCACAAAGAATTAAAACCTTTACACTTTGCTACCTATGTAAATACTCAAATACTGATATGCGACAGCTCAAACATGCAACGTAGTCCACATCATAGACAGTAACGGGAACTTTCTTTGTTATATAAATTACCCGTGCGTTGGAGGATTGAGCATTGATATTGACCAAAATCTTATTACTGGAGACAAAAGGACTGGAAAAATTCAAATAATAAAATATCTCGAGAAATAAATTGTCTGATGGTCTGTGAAGTGAAATGAGATTTAATACTTTTTAAACAGCCATATATACACAAGACATAACTGCTAACGCATGCACCACTTGTTAATTCTTATTTATGAATTGAACATTTGCGGGATCGGTACTTTTGTGTCCGGAAACCAATTTCCAGCTGTGCACTGCGCACCATTTTTCCCCAAATATAAAATTCATCATCACTAAAAGCAGTCTGTGATGTTGCCACAGGAGTAGTCCCCAAGTTACATGTATTAATCAAATAACAAACAGTCATTAGCAGTCATATCGCCTAGTAATTATCCAGTTTCGTAGTGTCTATATAAAATCCACTCAACTTCTGGTTGTCTAAGTTTCGTGGAACAATTTTAAACTTATTGTTTGCTGCTAACTTAATGTCGTGGCTATCTATAGTAAATATATATTTTTTTATGTTTGTACATCTATTTGCAGCAGTTGTCATGAGTGGAATTTAAAAGTTTTTTGTTGTTTTCAATGTTTACTGATTTCTCTAAAGGAACTCCCTGCAGATACCATCCTTCTGCTTTAGCACACTATTCTAGCGTCAAACGCCTCATACGGTGTCACTTTTTTCTGGGATCTTAATCAGTACAAATGTAAAGAACACATATACAAAGAAAAAATGATTTTTTTGGGGCTTCAAAATGTTATGGCAAGAATTCAAAGTTTCTAAATCTTGAAGCGGTTGATTGTGCCAATTATAAACTTCTCAACACATGTTGTAAAAGAAAATAGAAATACAATCATAACATGTTTACATAACAATGATGACGTGTTAAGTCCTAAAATATTACAATGTTGTATACATGTAACGTGAATACTTTGTAACTTTTCTACAATGACGTCCAATATCTAGCATCGGATTACTGATAACTATTTCAGTAACATTCCGAAAATACTGTCGGTTATGTAAAGCCCGAAAACATGATTTTTTAAGTAAACTAAAGCCTTTAAAAGAACTAAATCGATTGTATGAGCGTATCTGCTAGTTTTGATCTAAAGGCTGTTACTTCCTCGTCGTCCCCGCCCTCCGGGAATTCTATGTACGATTCTGATTCGATCAAATCCATGAATGAAAATGGTATTTTTTTCATTACGTCTTTCTCTAGCGCAACCAAAAACAAAATATTTTCACCGTTTCGGGAATAAATGGCCTCCATGCGTGCCATATTTAGTTCAAACATGCACCAGTATGAATCTAGAAAATGTGACGTAATAATACAGAAGGTTTTCCTGCTATTATGAATGGCATTGGTGATATTGTCTGCTATGCCTGTTCCAGGGATGAAATCACGTTGGTGTATGCACAACCTTAAATTGAATTCCCTTTCCAAGTGCTTCACGAGATTGATGACGAACACTCTGTCTTCATCAGCATAAGAAACGAATGCGTCAAAGTGATACGACGCGTTTGGCAGGGCATCTGGTCTGTAAACATTAATTTTATAATTTTCCCTCGCCACATAATACATATACCTCAGTTTCCATCTATATCTGTAAAGAATACGGCTGATGGTGATTGTCAAGACAACGATTGTTAATGACGTCATAATGACGATAATAAGAGTGTACGAGGAACACTGTTTTTCCAACATCTGAAGACGGTTTTCGATCTCTGAGAATGGAATCCCTGAGGAATTTGAAGAAGAGCACACATATTCATCAAAATGAAGAAAATTAATATTCTTTGAACTTATAATCCATTTCACAAAATCCAAGTTCTCACAGTCGCATCTCAGTTCGTTGCCCTTCAGGTTCAATGATAGAATGTTCTTTTGGGAAATTGCATCTAACATGTCTCTGATTTCTCTACTCAAGGATGATATCTGGTTATTGGAGAGGTCAAGGTGAGACAAGCGATTCATATGACTGACTGGTACTGTAAACTTACTCAAAGAATTGAAACTGAGGTTAAGATTTTCCAGTTGCATGAGGTTCCGAAATACTTTACTAGGAAGTCGTACAATTCTGTTTCGTGTTAGATTTAAGGTTTTCAACATGAACAGATTCTGAAAAATTTCTCCCTCAACATCATTTTCCAGATTCTCACCTAGAGCATTTTTGGAAAGATCGAGGTAAGATATATTTTTCAAATCTTTGAAAAACCATGGCGAAATATAGCTGCAAAAATTATTAGAGAAATCTGCATGAACAACACTTTCGATGCCGGTAATGGGACCATTTAATTCATGGATTATGTTGTTTTGAAAATAAACTCTTGACAACATAGGTGTTTTAACAGATTTGAAAACAAAATTTTGAAGAGTCATTTTGTAGAGATTATCGTGAAAATATAACGTTTTTAAGTTGGGTGGAAGGAAGACTGTTATATTTTCTTGTGTAAGTAAAGGTAACTTTATTTGCTTTTTGACTGTCGTTACCCCATGTTGGTTTTCTGCTAAATTCGCACATTGGCCCGGCTTTGTATCTTTGCAGCTTGTGAAAAAATCTATGAGTCCTATTTGATGAAAAGAGGACTGAAAACTCGCATTGACAGTGATAATATTAGATAAATCGCCAAATTCTAGCAGATAAATCCCAAAACTGAGTACGTTATTGGCTAGATTAAGATATTTTAGTGACTTT